GATTTCGATTTTTTCCAGTGTACTGTCCCCTTACAAAGGCTCAGTCCTGATCCAATCCTAAATGCAACTGAGAAATCTTGATAGATTGAAATTAGAATACAATACACTTCTCATCCAATTTAATAAGGAGACAGAAGAAGAGATAAAAGAATTTAGGCTTTAGATATACAAAGCTGATTTGGGTAAAATATTACAGGTACATTATGGATTCCATTTAAGATTAAAGATACATTTTATCTACCAATAAGCTTTCTTACCCTTGTAAAATACAGTAGAATCATCCCCACAGTAGCCTGGCAAGCTGTTCTAAGTTATGCCATAAAGACAGCGTTGTCATGATTTTTCTAAAGCTCGGACCCACATGCAGTGAAGCCAAACAGAGAGACAGAGTAAAAGTTAGAACGGGTTTCATTGAAAGGTATTTAGAGTTCGGTGCAGAGTTCCTCCGAACTCTGCTCGGCCGGAAAACTGAAAGATGAGGGGAAGACAGACTGTTAGGTTCAAGCTCAGTGGGGAATTGGAGTTGTTTATCTTGAAGGAGAGGATTAGTTGCAACTCACGTTTCCTGAGAAGAAGAGACACATAGACTCCAGTCTGTGTGTTGGTCTTCCAGGGTTTGTTTGATTCGATGGAGGGCGGAACAGAGTTTACCCAGAACTCGGAAGGAGTGGAATGATGCAGCCGCTGGTTGCAACTCAGTTTTCCTGTAGTACTTGAACGGGTCGTAGTGAAGATGACTTCCTTAATCAAAGAGAGATCTCAGCGTGCTCATAGGTGGCTGGATCCAAACCTCCTGTTTGGAATTCATCGCTCAGTGTAAGACTCAGCTGATCCCACTTGGGAGAAGGCGGTCCGAAAAGGTCCAGTTTGCAGGAAGGCTTCCTGCCGAAACGCAAAGAACAAACAAAGTTGAGACTCAGAGAGAAACAAGCGCTCAGTTAAACTCAATGTGATCTCAGCTTGGCTAGAGGACAAAAACTCAAAAAAGCAAAAACTCAAATTAGACTCAGCATAAACAAGACTTGGCTAGAGTACCCCAAACTGGCAAACACTCTGGCGTCCAAGTAGTGGCAACCAGCAGCTTAAGAACAGTCCGGTGATGAGGCAATCGCTTGCAGGTGTGTGAGGAAGTGAACCGGAGCCAGGCGCCTCCTGGTGGTGGAAGGGAGAAACACAAAAGTCAAGACAAACAGACGAACACAAAAACTGGGATCCTGACAAGCGTATTTTTCAGGAAATGGAGCATTTAGAGCCTGATTTCAAAGGCGGGACCAGGGCGGAGCTAAAAGAGTCAGCAGAAACAGGTTGGAAACAATCAAATAAGTATGAATGTGATGCAATTTTTTTTCTCCCAACACAACAAGCCAGTTGTTGATTTTTTTGTAGCTATATCTAGGACATGCCGGACACAAGAAACTGCATCATTAAAACATTAAGACATTTTATTGTTACAGAAAAGCACTGTTGCACTATTATTTAAAAAAACTAATTATTGAATCGTATAAAATTCTTGCTATGATAAAATAAAAAGCTGCTGTAAATGTCAAAGGTTCTACTTTACTGCACACATCAAAATTCCAAAGTAAGCAAATGAACAGGTTTTACTTTGAGGTACATGAATGTTTTAAAATACCCAAAGACTTGTCAGATTAAGTCTCTCTCAGGTGAGTAGCTGTCAGTCATTGACCTGCTCCAAGGTATGTGTGTATTTACGTACATCAGGGCCTGCATATAAACCCAGGTTGGCGTTATTGAGTCATGACATATCCCTCAGCTGTGTCTGACATGTGCTGCCATGAGCTTAGTCTCAGGGCATGACAGGACTGACAGATCGCTACGTGTTTATCACAGACATGACATTTTTCAAGCTGCACACACACACACAAACACACCCCAACACACCCCCACCAGGCTTTACAGAGCTGAAATACGTTTACCCCCGCATAGCTTTAAAAGCCTGAGAGAAATGAACACATACAGTGATCCGTGGAGACCTTCAGCCTTACGTTGGATGTGTTTTCTGTCATTGTAGTTTTCCAACAGATACCTTGTTATGCATACCCAGTGCACCGTCTCATCCGATTCGACCCATCTCTCAGTCATAACTCATGCTCAGCATGTTCTCTGGTCAGTTTCAATATTTCACATCAATGGGCGCCCAAAGAGAGCGATGAGCGGAAATGAAATTTATAAGACATTAAGTACAACATCTTCAACTCATCCCACCACACCACTTCCTGTTTCAGTTTGGTACCCTTGTTCCAACCAATCATCTGCTTTATAACACATTTACCGGAATGTAATTTTATACAATTTTGGATTGTTTTTGTTTGTCCTTCTAGATATCGGAGGTCCTGCAGACCCAATTGCTCCCACGATCATCATACCTCCAAGGAACACTAGTGTGGTGATGGGAACATCAGAGGTCACAATGGAGTGTGTGGCCAATGCCAGGTAAAAGCCAACTTTCAGAATATTCTTTTAAAGCAGCATCATGTAAGTTTTGACTAGGGGTGGGTATTGGCAAAGAAGTCATGATTCGATTCAAATCACGATTCACATGCCACGATGCGATTCTACCACGATGCATCATGATACTTGAAATATTGCGATGCATTGCGATATTTTCACTAAACACTGTAAGAAAAAGATACAGCCCTTACCAATGGCTGACTGGCTGGGTATGATCTGGATCATTTCTTCAATTGATACATAACTGAAAGCAACTGAATTCTTACATAGCTGTATTTATTGAAACGACTTTTGGAGGTGTTGCCATAAAACAAATACTGGACACAAATATTACTATTACTGGCGCAGGACACACTGACAAAAAGATCTTAGGATTCATAAAACTTAAAATAACAAAAAAAGGATAATCAGTGCCGTTTACATGGCCTCAGTGGTCCTTTAAACCAATGAAACGAAAAGTTTAAAAAACAATCCACTGGACTTGGTTTCCAAGGTCAGAAGACGTTTCGCTTCCCCTCCAGGAAGCAGTGATTATATATAAGCCTCAAACTCACTGCGAATCCAGACAGTTAAATTGAGAAAGCTTCCTGGAGGGGAAGCGAAACGTCTTCTGACCTTGGAAACCAAGTCCAGTGGATTGTTTTTTTAAACTTTTACGGAAAGCATCGATACAGTTTGGTAATGTGTCAAACACTTCAAAATGCCTCATTAACCCATCACCACTAAACATGGAATTGTAGGTCTAGCACCCCCTAGTGGTTAGGAGTTGCTGCTTTAATGTTGTTTTTGTTTTCTAAATGAAGGAAACCTGCAGCAGCTTTAACCATCAGTGGCACTACTGTTTAAAACAAGGGTTAGGAATTAAGTAGAGCAGAACAATTAAATTGGATTCCTTCTTTTTTGTGTGTAGACCTCTTATCAAGCTGAGCATCTCATGGCGTAAAAACGGCATGTTGGTGAGCAGCGGTTTGAGCGACTTCAACCGCAGACTGACCATCCTCAGCCCCATGGTGAGCGACGCCGGCTTCTATGAATGCGAGGCCGTTCTCCGCAGCAGCAGCGTGCCCTCTGTCAGCGCCGGGGCATATCTTCATGTGTTTGGTGAGAAAAACTCATGCAGTCAATTTCCTCTCGTGTTATCATAGGTGTCTGACATTTTAGGAAGGTTTTTCTTTCCATTCACGTTTGCAGTGTTTTCTAATTACTCCGGTTACCACTATGGTTCCACAGTAATTCACACCTTTCTTTCCTATGTCAAAACTGTTGTTACACAGCATGAATAGATTTTAATGATGTGACTAATCACACCTGAACGTGTGAAATCAAAAACATTATAGAGATTTGAAGCTTTGCTTCTGCACTTGTAGGAAATGTTTTCATTGTTTTCCCTTATAGTAGTATTCATAGCACCATTTAGGTTTTTTTTATGTTAAGAATGTAAAACAAAATGATCACCTTTGATAAAACTTTAATAAGCACCTTTGGTGTCAAATGCAATTAGGGTTGAGAACACTTCCTTTATCAGCTCTATTGTGTTACAGACATTTAAATATGGAGAAAGAAAATAGTGTTGCTGAAGGGAGGACTAATGAAACTCTTTCAATCAAAATGTTTAACAATTCAAATTGGATATGAAAAATGCTTATCACATTGAGAAGTTTAGGAATGTATGGAAGAGGATATAACTGACTTTTAAATTTTATTTCAGTTTAGTATGGGAAAA